CATATGGTTAGAAATAAAGAAAATTATATTATAAATCAGCATTCTTTATGTTGCAGGGCTATTGTAGCATTGTAGCATTGATGGAGGAGACAATTAGAAGCACCTCAAGGTTAAGGAAATAAAGTGAACTCTGAGCAAGTGTCACAGCTGATGTACCGATGTCAAAAATCCTTCGATGCTCACAAAATTGGAATGAAGTCTAAGCAGAAGCTATGTAAATACAACACCACTGAAATACATGATGTGGTTCAGAGACCAGTAAACATAAACACAATACAAATAACCTAAGTAATTTACATTAGTGCAAAGATTCATTTTGTATTTTCCCAAGTCCCAGCCCTTCCAACCCCCCAGAAACAGTTACTTTGTCCTTTTACAGCATAGTAATTGAAATGTGCTTCATTTCTCGGTAAATCTCAACTTTGGCATTTAAAAGTATAAATGTCACTATGCAGTGTAGAAGGCAAGAGAGGTGGGGTAATAGGACGAACCCTCGCCCCCTTTTTTTCTATGTCTGAGACTTAGTAGCAGAGGACCCTGCATTTGGGCTCTCACACCACTCAATTAGTTCTAGAGGAGGGCTGTAAGAAAACTGATTGTTTCAAATAGCCCCTGTGCCATATCTGAAACCTGCCTGGATAAGAGGGCAGTTCAGGTGAAGCACGGGGCAAAACAACCACCCAACAATGTATCTGTTGTTTAAACATCATCGGAAATGGTTCCTAACATAATATTATAATATAAACTTGAATTAACTACATTAGGTCTTCTGACTCACAGGAGCTGGCTGAAGAATAGAGGGGAAGACAAAGCACACACAAGGCACAGAAAACACACACATTACAATTTACAACAACTATCATTTTGAGTAGGGAGGGCACCATGCAACTTTGTCATGTCCGATAACGGTACTGCAACTTTAACTAACGGAGTATCTGCCGATACCAATATCACTGTGATACCTTATTTTTTCCCCTAGCATGTTGTAGACTACTACAGCTAATGGGATAGCGCCCCCGTTTAAGGCATGTCACACAAAGTTAAGATGAGCATTTGGGCTTAGATATAGAATCGGAATCAGGCTTTTAGTAGTTTTTTTTTATGTTGATGGTGGAAATATAAAACAAATACCTGCCACAGGGCTCCTATTTGACAAAAGTACATCAGACCAAGCTGCTTTTCTATTGGGTGACCACAGTAGAGTCTAAATAGGTTTGATTTTGCTTGATTTTAATACTAAAATCACTTCAGGATGAAACCCTTTTGGTTTTTACAGAATGTTAATCTATTAAAATGTTTAATCAGAGTAGCTATTTAATTAGGTAGCTATGGATTATTCAACATTACTCATGATCAGAATTTATTATATGTATATGTGTATATATATATATATATATACACATATTTATATTTACAGTTCTATATACATATATAAATAAAAAATAAATATACCGTAAATATTTATTTTTAAATATAAAATATTTTAAATATTTTTAAATATTTTATAAAATATATTAATTTATATATTTATATAAATATATTTTAAATATTATATATATATATAGATATATAGATACACACATACATATTGCGTATTAAGATTTCATTTCCTCAATGGTACTGTCATTTATCTATCACATGATGATTACCACATGGGTTTTCACAATATGGCAATTTATTGCGTAATTCACAAAACTGGTATTGATAGAAAAAGACATTAAATGTTTGACATACCCCAGTTGTTTTGTATAAAAATGTTTTTTTCTAAAAGTCTTGGGTGGTTCATTGCCAACAACTGCATGTGTACAGGCAGTGACTCAGTGAATACACATGAGTTTTAGAAAAATGTCAAATCAAGCACATATGCATGAAACAATAGACTGATGTAAACCTCTTTTGATAAGAATGCAACACTTGTGTAAATGTGTTTCAGCTCTCAGCGGGCTCTGTTAGCAACAAAAGTAGAATCCAGGCCTTATGTTATTTATTTGGAACTAAACCTCAATTTACTTGCGACTCTCTCTGGCGTCTGATTTTATTGGCCAATTGTCTTTAATAGGGCATTAGATCTTTTTCGGAGAAAAATACTGCAGTATCCTTGAGGTCATAGCAATTTATGTTTATTGAGTTTTCTGTATGACTTGATTCCTTCAACAGCTTTGTTCAAGCAACACATTCATTTAAATGACTCCACACTCTTGGGAAACTCCTCTCTTAAATAAATAAGTACCGACAACCTCTCCAAAAGAAGGCTTAATGGGGGCGTAACCCTTTCAAAAAAAAAAAATACAAGAATAATTTTAACACGACCCACACAATCTTTTAAGACATTCCCAGATTGAGCAAGCCTGTCACTACAGAAAGTCTGATAAAAACAGGATCAGGATTCAAACCAGGGGATTGCCAGTTCAAATCCAAACACACACACACAAAAATCACTGAAAACAAGAGGAACAGAGGCATTTATCGACAGTGAGCAATATGATAAATAAAAAGTGGTGGTGTATTTACAGTTTAGACTCTCAGCACCAACAGCTTGGCACCCCTGTTTTAAGGATACAACAAAAAAACCTAATGTTTAAATTGCCCTTAGAGTGCTGGATCAAGCAAAAAAAAAAAGTAGGCTAATAAAATTACAACCATCTAAAACTTGCCAACATCTGTTCCATCATCTCATTATCATGAGAGGGTACAGGTATTACACTGTATTATACGTTTCAATTCACATAGCACTGTTCATAGGACTGTTCATACCTTAACTATTCGCTTCATTTTTTTTCTTCCCAACTATGCAGATCTTGTGATTTGCTCAGAGCAGTGTTGTTGCAATAACCTTTAAACAGCAGTCTTCTATCTGACAACTTCCCAGTCACAAGCTACTGGCCAGTCGCCATATGCCAGCAGCTGCCGAGAACAGCACAACTGTAGTCCCTCTCAGTTTTCTCGGCACTTTAACATTTCTCGTCACATGAGCAAAAAGAGAGGCAAGGGACGCACGCAATGCAAACATGCACTCACAGTGTTGCCTTTCTACATCACCCAAACCAGCATGTCACTCACCCAGTGAGGGATTTCACCTGTTTTTTCATAGCTGTGTCTCTAATCCTTTAATATGAAACCAAATGAAAAATATAAACTACAAACAAACAACCGTACCAAATAGGAAATTATATCAAAAGAATACTCAATGTTATTTGAGTTGAGTTGAGTATTATGACGTCTAGGACAAGTTGGCCTTAACAGTATTCAATTCAACTTGTCAATCACTTTTTGCTGTGAATTTCTAGGGATGTGGAAATGTGTTATAATAGACATATGGTGGTAAACATGACTTACAAGGACACAGTGACCTTCACCTTTGAAACTTTCCACTGTTGTCATCTACTTGTCAGCTACTGTTTCATTAGCTATTTTTGACAACATAGTGAAACTTAGCAAGATGTTCCTCTGATATTTCTCTGACTCTTTTTGCATTGAATTATACACATGTGGAGATTCACAGGAGTTCAAATGCAGGTCTTTATCTGTCGGATTCCCAATCCTGAGTTGCCATAACAGAAGTAGGGCCGTTAGCTTGTCAGATGGGACATCAGTGAGACGTACTAATGACCTTTTGACCTGCTTCTATCTTGTTTTCATCAACTCTCAATCGCCTCATTTTTATTTTTAAATGTTTTACTTTTTGCAGAGCCGCATGGCAGAGAGCTTGCGTCTGTTCGATTCCATCTGCAACAACAACTGGTTCACCAACACGTCGCTCATCCTCTTCCTCAACAAGAAGGATCTGTTGGCTGAGAAGATCAAACGCATTCCTCTGACAGTGTGTTTCCCTGATTACAAAGGTCAGAACACCTATGAGGAGGCGGCGGTCTACGTGCAAAGGCAGTTTGAGGACCTCAACCGCAACAAGGAAACCAAGGAGATCTATTCCCACTTCACCTGTGCCACTGACACCAGCAACATTCAATTCGTGTTTGATGCCGTCACGGACGTGATCATCCAGAACAATCTGAAGTACATTGGGCTGTGCTAGGGCCTGACACCTGGTGTGGGGGGTTTGGTGGATCGGTAGAGCAGGCTGCCTGGCAGCATCTGACCCACCACCAGGCTGGACAAACCAGAGGCATGTCAGTCAGCCTCAAGGTTGATCTCTAGAGGTGCAAGAGAGAACTGCAACCTAGTGAGACACTCGACTCTAACAACAAAACTGTTTCACCTGAAACAAAAAAGCTGATGGTCTGCGGTCAAAATGGATTTTTTTTTTTTTACCCAATGTGTTTGCACTGAATATGAGTATGCAGAGACACACACACACTTACACACACACACAAACACACACACACACACTTACACACGCAATCAAACCTTTTCTTTGCTCACAGATCTTTGGATCAAAAGTCAAGCACTTGTGTGACAAGGCAACACTGGAAGTTTTACACCCCCTACCTGCCAAACCTAAGATTGACAAGTGCTGTAGGTCGGCTTTGCAGTTTTCTCTCCTCAATTTTTTTTTGCCTGAGTCAAATAATGCTGCATCACTGTATGAATATTGACACAATCGATGTTCTCTTTTGGATTTTCACCTAAATAACACGTATGTGACCAGTGAGTGCACCTGATCAGATGTAGAGAGAGAGGAGAAAAAAAAACAGTAAATATGATGTCACAGGGTTTCTGCCTGAAGAGGAAACTGCCACACAAGCTGAAATGAAATACATTTCTAACACTCTGTCTGTTTTCCCCGTTTGACTCTCTGCTCTTCTGTTTCTCCATGTTCTTTTTTTAAAAAAACTTTTATTTTAACTTTTTGTGCTTTAAAAACAACAAAAAGAAATGTCTCTCAGACCTGCCGTTTACAGCAGGCAACTGACTTATGTGACCAGGAGTGTTAGGCACGATAAATTCAAAAGTATTCTTAACGATCATTCCAGCAAGAGAGCGCAAAAAACAGTGCCAAGATTGGTTGTAAATAAACCAGATCCTGTTATGTTTTCTTTTTTTTTTTTTTGATTATTTTTATGAAAAAATACATTCAAACATGCATGATTTTGTTACTTTGGGATACTAATATATTTTCTTTGAGGCTATGTTCCTCCTTTCTTAAGTTCAAATAATATATTCCCAAAAAATATATATATATATAAAATTCAAACACTGTGTACTGAGTGTACAGTTGTCAGAGAGGAATATATTGAAAATAATGATATCAACATAAGTGATTATGATGTTTTATAGGACGAGTATAAAAATGACAGTGATGACGTGAAACAGCTCACAGATCAACAGAGAACAAGACTGTAGAAATATATAAAAACAAAGATGCAAACGTCGACACTTCAAAGTTCCCTGCATTACCTTGATGCAAAATTTGTTGAAGAGTCAGTCAGTATGATGTGTAAATATACTGTAAGATTCAGACTTTGTTTAAAAAATAAAATAAAATGGATGGGTTGGGTTGTAATGAGCAAAAGAGAGAGAGAGAGAGAGAGAGAGAGAGGGAGGGAGAGAGAAGGAGGATTTTAAACCCACTCCACCTCTTCCTTCTGCTCTTTTCCCTCCTCCTCAAAGCCTTCTTTTCATTTAGAGGGTGAAGTACAAACAACTCAGCTAAGGGCTTCAGGCTTGACTTTATGGGATATCCACTTCAACAAAAGAGAACCAGATAAAAGAGGAAAAAAAGAACAACATCTATGAATAAAACAACTTATGCAAATTTCCATGGTGTAGTAAATGTGTTTTGGGGTGTATGGACTTTTCTTTTTCCTCTCATAAGTATTAAGACTCACAGCAGTTTGAAACTTGAATGCAAATAAACTCATGTGCAAAAAATAAATTGTGACATAAAAAGTAATTGTGCTCACCATACAATGTAGCCACTGGAGCAGGAATAATTAGGCCATAAAGTATGCAATTAAACCAGAGTGTGATGGGGTGGCAGCATTCAGTACTGTACAGATTCCATTCTAATTAGTTAATAAACTTTGGCTGACCTAACGTGTGCTAACAAGTTTGTCAGAGCCAACGTTTTGATACAACCTTTTACCCAGTTACTGAGGATTAATTCCAATTTCATGCTAACTTGCTGAAGTTCTGGCAAACATCACCCATTAGTGATGGAGGGAGTTGTATTACATAAAGACCAAAACAATTCCATTTATCTGTAAGGAGAAATACTGTGACAAAGCCTACAGTACTGTGATGCAGAAGGTTCTCATTTTTGTTTAATTTCATTTGAGACCAATTTACAGCCCGGTGTCATGGGACACGTGGCCTGTGTAATACTGGGAATTTTGTTTGAGAGATGAGCATAAATAAAAGACAGAAGAAGGGAGAGGTCTGCTGAAATCATAGCCTTGTGACTATCATGTGGTAGCAGTTGACGCCAATAATAAAAATGATTGAGTTACACCATTGGAAAGCAGCTTAAAAATAAAGGATGTGTAGTGTTTTGGTTTTTTTTCACTTTCATGAGTTAGTCAAGAAAGTCAGAGGGTAAATAAGTTTAACTTTAGGGAAATTTAAAAACACAGTTCTTAACATCTGATTGTCACTATTTCGAGGGGAGCTGCATTGATCTAAGTCATAGTAATATCCAAAAGTATTCTCTGGAGGAACTATTAACAGGCTTGGTTTGTGGGTGTAATGTTTTACATAGTGAAATTAGGCCCAGATTGTGGCAGTAAAGCAACCTGAAGGATGAAGAGCTGATGTTCACAAAGGAAAAGGAGTGAGGTAGGTGAAGCATGTGTAAGGTCCTACATTTGGAATTGATCGTGCAATCAATTCTAAGGCAATACACAAGGAGAACAAACATGCATGCTCAGGGCAATTTATCATGGCCAGCAAAATTATGAACTTTTTCTCGTGCAAATCAGTGGATTTAATGATTATCATCGTCCTGAGCCTGCCAAAAGCCGGAACTAACAACAACACAAAAAGTGATATAGTAGTAAGAATATTGAGTAAGCAGAACCTGTAGCAGTGTTTTTCAACCTTAAGATAGTGGCGCCAGATGGGGTCGCCTGGAATTGAAATGGGGGTGCCTGAAATATCTAGTAAAAGATAAAAAAAATGTGCTGATGAAAAATTTACAGTATTTTAAACTGATTATTATACGTTTTAAAATAGTGATTAAAAAATGCACACAATCTTGAACAACTGTTCTTTCATTCATTCATGAATATAAATCGAGTTCGAATAAAATGCAGTATATAAATCTGAGCGGACAGATATAGATTGAAACCTGCCATTCATTTATCATGTGACTGTATAAGTGCCAGTTGTTTAAGTTCCTGTGCTCAACCTGTCAAAATGTGCAGTCAGTAGAAAAGAACAGAAAACAAAATGGAAAAGTAAAAATTAGTTCCAAAAGTAAAGAAAAAGAAAATGTCTCTGGGGTCACCAGAAATTTGTGATGTCAAAATGGGGTCACATGCCAAAAAAGGATGGGAACCACTGCTCTATAGATACCATGGAGTAATTCTATTTAAACATTTGGACATTTTCCATGAGGAAGAGACCCAGTAAGTGGCTAAATTAAATCAAGACAAGAGTAACCATTTAACTGGGCAAGGGTCTTTATTTATTGATTCTGCAGCATGCGACGTATGCAAGTTTGAGTCAGACTGATACTAATACAACTATTGGTACATCCCTCACACTGTTGTAAGTGTTTGTATAGCCCTCTCTTTATTTGATGAATGAGCTTCATCATCACCTGTCAGTTTGGTTTATCATCCATTCATCCTTCTGCTACTGACCCACTGAGACTCACTTTAACCCTCTCCTGCCTCAGCACTAGCCCTTTCCCCGCTAATCCACTACACAAGAGAGTGGTAGAAGCTGAGGTTCAGTGCTCCTCCCCTGACCTTTCAGGAGTACTCATTCATCCCATTCCAAATGAAGTCCTAAAGTATTTCCATAAGGAGAGCTAAGCCTGGCTGAACAGAGTTAATTTTTTCCTCTTGGATCCCTACTGATAACATCAACCCCTCAACGCCACTGAGTTGAGTGCCCCGTGAGATCTCCGCATAAATGTTTCTTCTAAGCTGTCTGACATCTATGGATATAAATATAAACATGCAACACGCAATGTGTCAAATGCACTTATTGTTCAGCCCTTAAATGAAGACATACATAGAGAAAAGTATTAATTTAGACCAGGATCAATCAAGTTCTAAGAGAAAGGTCTGTTTCAATTGGGTTATTAAAGCCTGCACTAGCCTGTAGAATTATAGTAGTCAATCATTTTGGTCGTTATTTGTATCACTGTATCTCTTTGTCACGAAACATTGGTATAAAAGCCCATTATTGTCACTCTCTACACCAAGACCCTTTATATTGCCTCAAAATAGCAACGCTGTGGTAACATGTGATCAAACTGCACATCCACCATCCCCCAAATTTCTCAGTGTTAATGGGTGAAATGAAAAATGAAATAAGCAGAATGTTTTTTAGGAAACAGAAACGCCACAGTGCCTTCAATTTTTAAAATTGGTACAAGGCGGCTTTTAATTGTGAGCCACCAAAAAATGTTCCTTGTTTTCTGTATTTTGCTGTAAGCCATGGAGCAGCTAATGAAATTATTCGAGAGGTTTAAAAAAAAAAAACAGACAGACACAAACCACAATGTGGGAGCTCTGATCAGCTGTCACTCATTTATTTTGCACTTCCTAATGTAACGAGTCAGGGAGTTGAACAAGAACAAATCCAATGTGACACTGGGTAATGGTCTTCTGCAAGTTCAATCAAAAAAGTTCCTACAGTCACACCAAGTGCCATTAAGAAACAATCAGCTTTGGCTTTTTCCTAAATCACTCATCAACAAAGCTGTACTCAACACAGAGATTTGGGACGGATTTGTAGACTAAATAGCCCTAATACTCACACTCTAGCACCTCCATCACCCCCTTGACAGGGGGTCATTAAAGGGTCTCCAGTTAACATTATTTAGGACCTGCATATTTCTGGATTCTGGGAGGAAGTCACGAGTATAATGAGGAATTATAAGAGCATACAAAAGGAGTACAGTTTAAAAAGAAAGGCTACATAAAATTAACTGGGATAATCTTTCAAAAACAAAACAGAGTGTGAGGCAGCTTGTTTTGCTTTTCAACACCCAGTATACAGCACAGAAAGAATGGATAGTTCATCCTTCTCCTCCTCTATGCTAAGTATCTGGACATCCAACTCCTTAACATGCATTCATTCATCCTCTTCCACTTAATCCTTCTCAGGGCCACAAGGAAGGTAGAGCCAATCCCAGAAGTCATCAGGACAAGGGCAAAGTACCCCTCCCCTCCCCCCCGCCCCCATTGACTCCAATCCATCAAAGGAGCACATAAGAAACAAACAACCATTCACACTCACATTCTTACCTATGGTCACAGGAAACTACAGGCAATTCAAACAGTCTGCAGGGTGAACGATTTACAGCTTTCCACTGAAGTTGTTAACAGTAAATATACTCTGCCCAGTCGAGTACCATCACAAATTACTTTTAATCTCCAAATGTGTTTCCTCGGACATCGAATCACATTCGGGCTGCAGAAGGACAGAAGGACTTCTGGGAAATTGAGATGACGACAGTATGACCCAAAGAACACCATCCCCACAGCCAAGCACGGAGGTGGAAATATTATGGTTTGGAGATTTTTCCACAATGGGTAGAGGGCGACTTCACCACATTGAGGGGACCATGAGGGAGCCATGTACTGTAACATATTGGATGTGTCGTGGGTAGGTTTTCCCGCATGGCAATAACTCAAAATACACTGCCAGGGCAACAAAGAAGTGGCTCCACAGGAAGCTAATTAAGGTCATGGAATGGCCTAGTCAGTCTCCAGGCCTCATTCCAATTGAAAACCTATAGAGGGAGCTGAAACCCCAATTTCCCAAGTGGCAGCCAAGAAACATGAAGGATTCAGAGAGTTCTTCTGATGCGTTGATGTTGCAGTATTACATATTTTACAGTATACACATTACAAAACGTTAAGTTTCTTAAACAAATGCATACTTGAAGGGCATTTATGAGTACTGTTGGCTAAAAAATATTACCCTAACAGGACATAATATAAACATATTTGTATCTTATCACACAATAAGCAGCTTTGCCAGAAAAGCCTTTTAATGGAAGGCTTTTTTTCCAAGCTACATTTAACAACTAGACCTATGCTTTAAAACCACAAATTATAAGATCACATCAGAAAGTAAATTATAAGAATTAGAAGGATTTGTATTCATTTGTCCTCAAGAGGACCAACAGAAAAGTAAAATATTTGAGTGGTTGACCAGGTTACTACAACCACTCACAATGTGAATCATGTTCCTAAATAATGACTGCACTTATGTATATCAAATGATCGTGGTCCCAGCTGCAACCCTTTCTGCTGTTTAATTTGATTTCCATGGTGATCCTACATACCTGGTAAATCATCTCATTCACCTCATAGTCATTTGTTCCATTACTTTGCAAAGATCACAAAGATATAATTTCAGGGGTCAGTCCATCAATCTGAAATTGGGCTTTCTAGGTTCCAGATTTTGGGCAATCTGCCTTTCTGATGTATTTTATTAGAGGAGTGTAAAAACAGGCTTTGATGCTTTATCTGTAACAAATCCTAACTAGGCTTGCACAATATGTGCAATGACACTCTTCAATAGAGGATATGACTTGCAACAAATAAGAAAGTGAAAGTGCACACTACTGCACACAACAAAACGTGACCTTTGCTTTTAACCCAGCACCGAGATCAGGGGGGCAGCTCAAATGCCCAGGGAGAGTGTGTGGAGACGGTAACACCTTCTGGACCCCAGTATGCTTTCTTAACCACAAAGTAAACACTTTTATTTAAACTTGAAATTATCATTGTTGTTACTTAACTTTTCTGCCTAATTAACTTTTCTGACAATTTAATTGTCTGTGCAACAACAATCAATAAACATTTGATGTTTACACATTTTAAACAGGGCTGATTGGTCATAAAACACACATTATTATTTCAACCTGTTAGAATAAAGAAGTCTGAATGCTGGTTTGTAAGTATCATTTTAGAACACACGCTAACTGATTTAGAGTAAAAACATTCAAGTGCAATTGTGATCGATTAATCAAATCTAATTCATCTAAATTAATTGTTATTGGCAAAAAGCCATAAATATTTGGGATACATTGTTTCGCCAATATCTCCAAACCCCAGCTTAGATAGTTGACAAAACCTCCAGAAATAGACCTGAAGTCACCATATACAAATACAATAAGGAAATTGGTACTTCCAGTTGAAACCATAACCATTAATGCCCACATTTGGTCTTTGTTTTGCAAGCAAAATGTGTGTTAGGCTGATAAAGGTCTATTTAAAAATAGACACACACAAAAAAAAAAACAATAAAGAAGACAATTCTCATGAAAGCAAATCAAATGCAGGTCACATTTGGCTTACCTTTGGTGTCTTCAGGGTTTAACCTGGCATAGCTGGCCTCACACCATGCTGGTTGTTATATTTTCTAATGATTTGGAGTGTCTTGGAGCTGGAAGACAGTTTTGGGAAACAGGGAGATTGGTCAAGATGTTTTATGTATAAGCATTAATATTTATTTTTTTCTTCACCCAAATTAGAGGTCTCCAGTTGAAATATCTACCATCCTTTCCACTTGTTAGAAATTAAGTGTTGGCAATAAAACAAGTGCACAGTCCCCACACATTAAAATGAACAAAATCTTAGTGGACACTTTTGGGACTAATTAACAGAGTAGCTGCAACTGCCACATCCAAACTCCTACACTATCCCACTTGCTCCATCTGGACCAAACAGAGATATCATATCTACTGTAATAGGAACTGTTAGTAGTTAGTCAAACAGATAGACCAAAGATTCTATTTCTTGCATACAAACATAGTATCAAAATATGTAGTTATTGACTCCCGAATTTGAAGCAAGTAAGAATTTAGTGTGAATTTAGTGATTGGTCAGTTATGCCACAAACCAGTACACATTTCAGTTTCCAATGCAGCTGTACATCTATGTTGTTCTTCTTAAACAAATTATTTAGTTAACTGTGTCCATGAACTTCACAGCAAAAGAGAGACAGAGAGACTACAACCTCTGATTGCAGGGCTGATTTCAGCTCTGTTTTTGTGGAGTTAATCCCTATTAAAAGGCATGGTGCCATTTTATGTGAATATGATTTAACCCTCGTGTTGCCCTGAGGTAATTCTGAGCTTAAATAAAAATTTTATTGATACTTTTTGTTTGGTTATTTTGGTTGTTTTTTTTCTGCAAATGTGTGTGTCGGGTGTTTTGAATAAATCATGGTCAAAAGCACAACATGATGTAGTAATAGACTACAGTCACAAGACAGATACTGTCTACCAGTCTGCCTGCTGAGGCCTGCCCTGGGGGTTTATTTCCCTGGCCCAGTCTGTAGGCCTCCCAGCCTGAGTGTTGGAAAGGAAATGCAGACACAAAGAACGTCCATATGACAGTTGTTTCTGTCTCGACCACAAGACACTCAGGTCCAGACATCACAGCTCCGTTTGCTATGACAACTACAGTTTTTTCTCCGTTTTTACTTTAGTATGGGCTGGTGTGTGTGTGTGTGTGCACACAAAAATGAACTCCAGCAGGAGATCAATTTTCGTGAAAGGCTTAGCAGTGTTTGTTTGTAGTGCAGTCACCCTGGAATTTGATTGGCTCGACAGCATTTTAAACATAGACAGCTACTTGCCACGTTTATGTTCTGGTTTCCTGTCTTAGAACATTTAAACACTTGAGAAACCGTTGACCTGTCTGTGGCTGTACGAGAAAGCCAAGGTCTGCTGTTTGTAATCAGGGCTGAAATCAGCGGGTGTGACAGAACCATGGTGCCCACAGAGCACTGGCCTCATTCCAGTCATTGATTCTCATTCAAGTAAATATTGATTGTCCCCGTTCAGAGATTTGAAGCAGCCATTTGTTACAGTGCTAGTCTGATAAGTGACTCATCTCGATGGCTTACATGGCTTCCCCTCAATGCCAACCAGGCTGCTGTAAATGTTCATAGTCGATATGATGAAATTCGTTTTGCTATTTCACAGTTTATTGTTGCATAGTTGCGGGAATATGTGGGAATTTCTTTTTTCAAACAACTATAAGTGAACAAGTTAAAATTATTGTAGGTTAAAATACTTAAGGGCAATTTGAATTTGAGTTAAAATTTTGATATTAATCACAATTATTAAATTCTTATTTGATTCTTAGGCTTAAAAAATGGTTCCCAAAGTGGGGTGCATGTACCATTTTTGGATGGGCGCAGGATGAGTTATTGCAAGGATATGGGAAGAATGAAAGGGGGTCGCAAATAATGTCATGTTTGCTATATTCTTTGTTTGTCCCACAGTTATTTACATTTCTTTTCATCCAATGAGAAAAGTAACTTTTTGTGCAGTGTGAAGTTAAGTTAACATTGCACAAAGATGGCTTGACCAAAGAAAAGCACTGAGGTAAGCCCAAAGGTCACCCTAACCAGTGTTTGCATATTAGCTAGCACACTGCCTCACATAGCATTTACTGTAGCGGCCTACCATATTACCTTTAGGGCTATGCAGACTTCTGTTCACGGTATCTTAGCCTTTAACTGTACCACATGACAGTTGTTAGCTTTGCAGTATTATTAGATTATGGTTTGGCTTCAGCATTTCACGGTAGCAATTTACAAAGGTTACCTTTAGCATGCTGTTGTAGCAGTCTTAACTAGTCTCAACTGGCCTTTGTGTAGTGGTGTGGCAGTTTATCTTGATCTGCTTTAGTAAACATCTAAGGGCAGATTGCATTGGCACAGTACTGTGGCTGTTAACCTGACTTGGCTTCAGGATTTTATTGCAGTAGATTTCCCAATAGAATCTTAGCACATGACGTTAGCAGGTTATGCAGTTTAGACTTAAAATGATAGGTTAGTATGCTAGCTGATTGCTTTGTTATTGTTAACATGTTGATTAAAAAAAATACCATCTAGGCTAAGCTGCATTGGTTTTAGCATGTTAACAAAATATCTGTTCAGCTTTACCTTGTTGCAGCACTGCCAATGTATTTATTCTAGCCTAAGAACTCACCACAGCAGGTAACAGTGCATAGGATCAGTAGTTTATCCAGTGGATTACAGTACCTGGGCTACTACAAGCCTGAACAGCTTTCCTCCCACAGTGAAACTGCCCCATGTGGTAAAAAAGGCCAAATTACTAGGCAACTGAAAGACATATATAACGCTTGTAAAAGTATTTATGCATTTAATGACCATACGATTATCAATGTACTGTAAACTCATCATGCCAATGCCAATTACAATGCTAAATCTTATTCTCTCCACCTTCTTCCTGTACGGCCCTACGTCCAAGCTGCAGCTGTGCTACAACCTTGGACTTGGGTGTAACCATCATAATGATAGATAAAGCTGCAAGTGGCAACTTAACCGGTCAAACTGCTCCTGAAATACTGGGGCCACAGTTTGTCAAAGTCAACAGGAGATTGATTGAGGAGATTTACACCTGTGGTGTAAATTGAATTTTGCAGCTGAAGGAGTAAGGCCACTACAAGAGCTGTGTGGACTGGAGTAAGGTGAATTAATTGAGGTTTAAAAACAGAGTTGTAAGACCTCACTCATTTCAATGTTACAGCCCTAAATCACTGCTTTCCCTGCACAGATTGGTATTATGGTAATCATTAAACATAATTGAAAACAAGACCTAATTGCCTAATTGGAGTCTTAATTGCAGTAGATGTGATTGCTCCTTGTTTTGCTTGAGCATAATTAGTGGCTATACGTAGGTGCTGCAGTGGGTAATAATGACTTCAGTTCACAGACACCTCACTCACATGGCTCGACAAGTGCATAATTAGTTTCATAATTTTGTTTTAAGAATGTTTTTCAAATATCACCTGCACATTATTTTCTGTTTTGTTCTTTTCCTTTATTCCGCACTACCTGGTAAATCCATCTGTAGGGTATTTTTGGCAGCACGTGGATTACAGGTTAAAACAATGGGGTTTGTAATTTAATGGATTGCTGGTTAAAATTCTGACCCTGACAGGACTGTGGTGTGTTTCACAAACTGAATATATACCGAGAGTATTTTCACCACACGTGACTAAGTACTATTAAATAATATAAATTTAAAAAAACGTTAATGTATCTGGCTGAAATCGTCTAACTAAATAGGTAGCAGCTGAGCTTTTGTATAAGCTCTGCAGCTGCTGGCCGTAATACTAATATACTGTCCTGCAGAGACACCTAGAGGCTACATTCAGTACCTGCTTTAAAAACTGAGGCATTTATTTCATTTATTTGCCAGTACAGTATGATTGACAGCTGAATTAAGTTTTCTTCTCAGGACTGTACTGTTGCAGGGCTTCCACTGAATGTGATGGCCCATGAGTCAGTCTCAAATAAACCAATACTATTTACCCATCTATTGATTTATTCAGCATCAATAGCAAAGTCTATTATCAATAGCTGTTGATATACTACTGTAAATGAAGTTCCATGTCGACACATTTACGAAGCATGTCGACGCATTCAAACTAAGTTAGTTTTAATCCTGAAGCTTAACTGCAACTTTCATTTCGTGCCGATGTCAAGATTTAGAGCTCAGAAGTAGGAAAGGAAGGAAAGGAAAGTGAACTCCTTGTCATTGTGACATTGTGATACACACAACGAAATGTGACCTCTGCATTTAACCCATCACCGAAGTGAACTGTGGGCAGCTTTTTGAGCTCTCTAGGCTGGTGACTTCAAAACGATAGGCTGCCAAAAAGGCCAAAGTTCCACGGGTTCTGAAAAGACTGCCTTAATTCATGTTGCACGGCTACATCAGTCACACCAGATTGGTATTCCAAATATGGTCTCTGGTATGCAAAGGTGCCCCAAGTTCTCTCACAAGCTAGACAAAGGTAGGGGTGGGCAGAGAGAAGCCCGGGTTGTTGTGTTTACGTGCTGAAAAGACTTGTTACAAAGTTATTAATGAGCAGAAAATGTCAGTACTGCATACACACTTTGGCCTTTTGACTAATAATTAACAAACAGTCAATGGGCACAAAGGTGTTACATATTCACTGTGGGAGGGGCCATGTCTTACTCAAGTACTTTTCGGAATGACAGTAGAAGTAAGATTATTTCCTGATAATCAGATATTAAGGGGTCAAAGATGAACCCTATCCTGTAATCTCTATTTTTTAACATGTATTTGATTTGTACAAATTATTTTATGAATTTGTTGAAGCAACAACTAAGGATATTTTAATGGTGTGTCAAAATATAGTTTGGTGTGTCAAAATATAGTTTAAGTATCATTTGGAAGTTAGCAATTTAGATAAAATGTAAAGCTGAATATTGCTGAAAAAATATTACAAAAACCTATTCACTGATTCATGATTGAGAGGATGGGTTTATTACATGATAGAATCTACAGGATTTGTTACCAAGTATGTCAATAAAGTTGTTTAGAATCAATTACATTAGCTCTACCGGTGACCTATTGAATATATCCTTGTTAAAAGGAAACACCTTTTTAAGGTATTTCCTTGTGCATTAATGATTAACAGGGTTGTTTGCTGAAAGGTAACATATTTTAGACAACTTTACTTTTACATCCACAACAAAGCGTCCATTGTTAGGTATGTTTACATCTGGGTCTTCATAGACGTTTGACCAAACAAGAATTATGGTAATTTATCCTCCATCTTTTGCACGCCCACTCAATATCTAACAGGCACAGGTAGGACCAGAGTACTTAAGTGTCTGTGTTTGAGCAGGTGATTCAGTCACAGAGGAGCGACTCCAGAACACACTGCTGCTCTCTGTCCACCCTCTGTTCAAGATGGCTCACGACTACTTTGGATTTTCCCTCGTACGGAGCAATGCACGGATGAATAATGGCACTGTTGCCTTGGCTAATCCAGCAGATATTTCTGTCATTGTGATTTATTTCCTGGTTGTCCTGGCTGTTGGAGTATGGGTGAGACTACCAGCATTTGTCCTTTTCAATAGAAGTTCTTATTGTATAATCTTTAAAGTTATGGCTTAAGTTCCCTTATTTAAAGACATTCGGCTTTCACTGAACCAAACTTACTGTTTAACAAACAAAACTATATATTTGTTTTATGCCAAGAATATGTAACCTATACTGATACAGCAGCAAAGTGTTAATATAATGCAATAATCATTCATAATGATTGTTAATATGTCATTTTATGATGTACAAGGGTAATGTGCTGAGATTTTGCTGAGCTGCCTTTTGCCTTGTAACAGTATTGTATAAAGTGTAATCATTGACAACTATGGTGGGTGTGTTGTAGTATAATTACCTGTTGTTGTTTTTCTCCAAACAATCTCATTGCCTTTCATTATCATCCCTTCTTGTTGGATAGGCTATGGTTCGCACCAACAGATCCACCGTCGGGGGTTTCTTCCTGGCGGGGAGGAGTATGGTGTGGTGGCCGGTGGGTATCTTATAGGTCAAAACACAGGTCAATGTGTGAGAGTCACCTGTGATGGCTACTATATTTTTAATTAACTTCACATGCTGAAACATTTTTTAAATTGTATTCTAGCCCATTGCTACTTTGCCTTGGGTCATTGTAGTGATACAAGACAAAAATCTCCAAGATCTGACTACCATTGTCACCAGAATAAATTCACTAAAGTATCCTTATAGAACTACAAGTCCACCTCAATGTCTTACAGTGGGGACGGTGTTCTTTGAGTTCTCAGCCTCTCCCTAAGATTTCCAAACACAAGTACCATCACAGTGGTCTCAACAGGCCATTCACTGTTCACAATAGTTTTTTTGTTACAATAGTAACAAAAAACATTTTTCCCAAGTTTGCAACATACTGTTCACAATAGTATACTGTAGTCTGGCTTAAATGTACTTTTTCAACAAAAAAACATTTTTCCCAAGTTTGCAACACTACAGTCCTACTTACCTAAGAGAGTCATTGTGGTGTCAGGTACACCTGTTGAAATATTGATAATGTAAACTTTTGAAAGTTAAAGTAAATGTAAACGATTTCTAATCTATTTGCAGAGGACTTTAGGTACACATTTCCAATTTTAGTTTGACAAATTCGTTATATTTCCAAAATTATTCAATTGTTTAAATCTACATTTTTATATTTCTGGAATATTTTAAAACAAGAACAAACAGAAGCATCCTGGGTTTTAAACACAGCATATACATACAATGATTCACGGAGGGAGACTCAATTTATTTCATATAATTTCTTCGGTATGTTTATCAGAAATATCCTACATGCTATATCTTTAAGCAAAAACAATATATACACTGCTGCACACTCGACTTTTACCTTAAGTACACCTTGGTATCTGGAGATTTATTTTAACCAGAAACTCATTAGCATTTTAGCATGACGAACTCCTATTTGTGAATTTATAACATGAGTGTGTCCGTAGTGACGACGGAAGACAACTCTTCTATAGAACCGTTAGGAACCATACATAATTTAGTAACTAATACTTATATATAGCGGATAATTCTACTTACACATCGGTGAAGGCGAAAACTGTGAAGGAGATAATTTACTTCCTCTGACGTCACTTTGCCCTGCAATCAGCAGTGAAACAGAGGTGTCTGCAGGTGAGGCAGTAAGAAGACCACCGATTGGTTCATCTCTGAGACTAAGCTCCGCCCACCGAGGGTCAGAAAATTATTACAACTATTCCAGTTTCTCACAGCTGAAAATCACGTTTTTCTGTGTGGTTTCTTTTTATTTGTTTATTGTCTTGTAACGTTCATTTAAAAAATGACTCCCAGTTTTCTCTCTGCACTCAAAAAGAAACATAAGGCTACGTACTGCAACGTTTTCTCCAGATAAATACCAGACACAACTAGAGAATACCAAAATGTTTTTATATTCATGAAATATTACTGAATCATTTTAGCTAATTATTGCAGTCATATATTATGTGCATTATTTTTCACTATAAACATTTTATATGTATTTTTAATTTTCAATTTCTAGGTTTGAAATTCAGTTAACACTGTGATTAATAACAGTCCCAGCTATTATGATAGTATCATGGACATACTTTGCTGGTCCGATTTCTTACAGATTGGAGCATCACTTTTTGCCAGTAACATTGGTAGTGGTCACTTCGTGGGAATTGCTGGAACTGCTGCAGCTGCAGGAATAGCCATCGGTGGATTTGAATGGAATGTGAGTTTTTGCATCTGCCCCATGGGTTAAACAAAAAAAAAAGCCAAAATGAGACGATTATGAGGTCTACACACGTACTGTATGTGTAATCTGCATTCATAAAAACGTCTCGTTATCAAATCTGTGACATTGCGAATCTGTGCATTTTTTGGTTGGTGCCACATATTTGACAACTTTGTGTCTACGATATGCATAATGTGTTGACAGGTATTTAGCTTTTATTCTTAGGATACTGGAAAGCCTTACTTTTAGGTGTGTTTGGGCTAATTATTAAGCATTTCTGATAACCTTTAAGTTGACCTGGCAATATTTATCGTCAGCTCTTAGTTAAGTTATCATTATCAGGTTATTCTAACATTGACCACTGGGCTAGATAATGGATGTTTGGATGGGTTAATCTGGCATTTAAATATTGTAGTTTAGAACAGTTAACTTAGCTTCTATGAAAAATTTAGATACATTTGTGCTGCTGTTTTCTTTTTACAATTTTTGCTACATTTGTAATATATTTTTCAATTTCATGGTATCAGGATCCTGCCTATAGCCGGTCAGTGATAAAAGAAAAAACAGCCATGATGTACAGTAGGTTTTAGTTGTCAACGTCCATAGAGGGGTGTGTTCCAGAGAAATAATGGTGATATTGATTTTTTGTGTGTTTCAGGCTCTGATTGTGGTTGTAATTCTGGGATGGCTCTTCGTGCCCATCTACATTAAAGCAGGGGTAAATAGAATACATGCTGGAAAAGAAAATTCACATCCTCTTGTGTACTGTGTGTACTCAGAGGGAAGTCATAAAGACAACCCCATCATAAAAACAAACATCTCTTGGTGGGTGTGTTCAGGTGGTCACCATGCCTGAGTACCTTAAGAAGAGGTTCGGAGGACAGAGGATTCGCATCTATCTCTCCGTGCTGTCCCTTTTCCTGTATGTTTTCACTAAGATCTCAGTAAGTCACTGTGACGCCACGTCTAAAGCACATATCCTCGGCACATGCTTGGTTTCGATTTTCAAGTGTTTTGCTCCTCTTCCCTCCTCTCAGGCAGACATGTTCTCTGGTGCCATTTTTATCAACCAGGCTCTGGGTCTGAACATCTACCTGGCCGTCGTGATGCTTCTCCTGATTACTGCTCTGTACACAGTCACAGGTCTTTAACCTTAGGATGTATTCACTTTTCTTTGCAGGGAAGATACAAACTTTTATTGCTCTTGTAGCGTAGGGCAGTTGGAGGATGACCGTAGCTACTTGAGCTTAATGAGTGCTTTAGTCCTGTCTACATTACAAATGGCACCATTACCAGGGGTTAAAGGTAAAGTAGACACATAGATAAACATGTATCACTGCGCACTCTTTGTTGCTGGGAAGCTTATCTATGCGTTATTATGGGTAGTCACCCATGGACTGTGATAAGTGCAGTTACCAGCCTTCTGTTGCTGTTTTAAAATGACACATCCAAACTTGAACTTTAGCTCTGATAAACAGCTGATAAACAAACACCTAATCCTCATTACTTCATTTGGAAAGATCATTTCAGTAATGACTGGAAATAACAATTTCCTTGATTGTTCTTCCCCCCCATTCTAACTAGGTGGACTGGCTGCGGTGATCTACACAGACACCCTGCAGACTATCATCATGGTCGTGGGATCATTCATCCTTATGGGCTTTGGTAATATGGTATTTTTTTTACATTTTTTCAAACTTCTCTTTATGGCAAGTCATGTGAGTTAAATGTTGTATCGACTCCTGTTAAACTAACAGTGATGCCGATGACCAATCAGTTACCTGACTCTCCTCTTCACCCATGTCCTAAGCTTTCAATGAGGTGGGAGGATATGAAAACTTTCAGAGGAGATACATGGAGGCCATTCCAAAGATCAGGACTAACATCAGTGAAGAGTGCTATGAGCCTCGAGCCGACTCCTTCCATATTTTTAGAGATGCAGTCACAGGAGACCTGCCTTGGCCCGGTCTGGTGTTCGGACTTACAATCCAGGCGACCTGGTACTGGTGCACTGATCAGGTTAGCAGGAGAAAAAAACTTTTTTTTTCAAGACTTTGAAACTTTCAGGGGTTCCCAAAGTGGGGGGCGTGGACTGCAGTATAGCAAATTGATTTTATTTATGGGGAAGCTTGACACTTGACCTAGCTACAAAAGGGGAGAAAGAATGGGAAACAGCTTTAGCCTTTGGTAGACGTTAGCAGTTGGATAAAAAAAGTACGTAAGCGAGTATTTTGTTTTGGTTTTTGCACCAAAAGGCCAGTCATGTGGCCAGTAGAGACACCCACATAAAACACAGGTTATAATTTGAATGGAAAAAATCTTCAACTTTTGACTTTGAAGTGATATCTGTTAACACATACAGTAGATGTTAGTTACAAACAGGATGTTTGTTTGTCATGGACCAAGTCCACTTCCTGTATTGTTAACTGCTCACATCTAAATTGTTTCCCTTCTGCAGGTGATTGTCCAACGTTGCCTCTCGGCCAAAAATCTGTCTCACGTCAAAGGGGGCTGCATCCTATGCGGCTACCTGAAGCTGCTGCCAATGTTCCTCATGGTTTTTCCTGGGATGATCAGCAGGATTCTCTACACAGGTGCTCATGCTAGCAGAACAAAAACCTCAAGGGACCTCTGCTGGTCATAGAGAAAATGGTCAAATAGATTTTCAAATGTCCCGTTTCTCATGTAACGTACTGTGTTGTAGACGTGGTTGCCTGTGTAGATCCAGACGAATGTTTGAAACACTGTGGAGCCAGTGTGGGCTGCACCAACATCGCCTACCCTAAACTGGTGGTTGACCTAATGCCCAATGGTAAGAGACAGCTTCAAAGACCACAGTGATGGTTTCTCCATTCATTTACCATTCATTTGTGTGTTTTCCCTGGGTCCCAGGTCTAAGGGGTCTCATGTTGTCTGTGATGCTGGCGTCCCTGATGAGCTCCCTGACCTCCATCTTCAACAGCGCCAGCACACTCTTCACTATGGACATCTACACTAAAGTGCGCCGCTCTGCCAGTGAAAAGGAACTAATGATTGCTGGAAGGTACAAACACATCTGTAGAGTTATATTTGACCTGATTTCCCGATCCTAGGTCGTTGCTAATGCTTCTTTCTCCGTGCGGGTTTAGAGTATTTATCTTGGTCCTGATTGGTGTGAGTATAGCATGGATCCCCGTGGTGCAGTCCGCCCAGAGCGGTCAGCTCTTTGACTACATCCAGTCCATCACCAGCTACCTGACTCCTCCAATCGCAGCTGTGTTCATGCTAGGAATGTTCTGCAAGCGTGTCAACGAGTCTGTGAGTTTTCCTATTTGTTGTCTCCTAGTTTTTTTTGTTTGTTTTTTGTACTTCTTCTGAGGCACTTTGCAGTGTCGGTTAATTATTATTATTAGCTGTTATGTCACTACTCACACAGCTCCAACCAAAGTCCTGTAGGATGCTTTATCTGTCCGGGGCAATAGGGACAATTGTAGAGGTGAGATGAAAGAGACAGAAGGAGAGAGAGAAAGAAGGGAGAAAACAGTTGTTATCAATGCCATTAGATTTAAAAAAACAAAAAAAGTTATTGTTTTTATTTATTAGAAATTACTGCAGCATCAGTCTGTAGAGCAGGGGTATCCCAAGGCATCATGGGAATTCCAACGCTGCTTTATTGAAGAGGAAGTCCGAGTTTAAATGTAAACAAGGTGTCTGTCTCCAGAACCTACTGTGAATCTGAAACATAACTGAACAACAACCGAAGGATCTAAAGGCCCTGAGACACGAAATGTTAAAAAGGTTTATTTTTTTGACATTTATCATTTCCGTTCTGAAGCTACAGCAGTTTGCAGCAGTTGTTTTTTGCTCTTTTTGTGATGTTTTTTTTTACCAGCATACAAGTAGCCATATCTCAAGCTAACACTCAGCGTATCAACTGTCGCTTGTGCTTTTAGAGCTATGGCGCACATGAAAAGTGCGAATCAATAATTGATGAAAGTGCTGTATGTACGGTTCACTGCAAAACACAAGTTTTCATTCCTGACATAAAAGCTCCAAATTAGGGATGTCCGATACTAACTTTTTGCCCATTATATCCGATATCGGATGTCCGATTCCGATATCAACGGATACCGATATAGTGAGGCAGTGTTGGCCTGGTGGTTAAGGAAGTTAAGTGCACCCTGCTCACTGAGGTGATGGGTTAAAGCAGTGTTTCTCAAACCCAGGCATTGCGTTATCGGGTTTTCATTATCCGATAAAAACCGATAACGATTCTTACAGATATTACATAATAATGCTAATATCGGGACGATATTATTGGACATCCCTACTCCAAATGTTTCATCACATGTTGTCATCTGTTTGTTTTTAGGGCGCCTTCTACGGCCTGCTGATTGGTCTGTTAATTGGCCTCTCCAGGATGATCACTGAGTTTGTCTATGGGACAGGCAGCTGCGTCAATCCCAGTAGCTGTCCCACCATCATATGTGGAGTCCACTACCTCTACTTCAGCATTCTCCTCTTTGTGGTTTCCTGCATCATCATACTGGGAATCTCCCTCATGACCAAGCCCATTGATGACAAGCATGTACGTGACTGCCGTGAGATAAGGCTGGATGAATCGCTTATTACTTACGGTCATTAAACAAGGAGATAATGAATTCTTTTTTTTATATACACCTGTGCTGTGTGCGTAGTTGTATCGACTCTGCTGGAGCCTGAGGAACAGCACAGAGGAGAGGGTGGACCTAGAACAGGACGACTGGGTCGATGACACTGACTCTTCTTTGGACTTTGAAGGTAATCAGTGGTCATTCATCTTCATCAGGTGAGAGTGTCACACGCATGTTCGAATGTTTCACGTTGTCCCTGTGATTACAGAACCAGCTGAGGAGCCCGGCTTTTGTAAGAAAGCTTTGATGTGCTTCTGCGGCCTGGAGCAGAAGAAGGGTCCCAAGCTGAGTGCAGAGGAGAAGGCAGAGCTGGAGAAGAAGCTGACGGACACCACAGAGGAGCCGCTGTGGAGGAACATCGTCAACGCCAACGCCCTTATCCTCCTGTGTGTGGCCGTTTTCTGCCATGGTTTCTTTGGTTAAAGGACTGCGATCGAGACAGGACCAATGCAGGACATTAACGTATGACCCGATGAAGCACACCATAGTCATATAAATGCACGACGTCCAGGATAAAATGATCAAAACGCTTTTACATTGGCAGCAGTGACAAAGACATTTTAACCCTGGTGAGCCTAATGCACATTGACTTTAATTTATAGGCAAGAAAATTGAAAAATTGATGTGACCCTGGCAGACTTTTGTCCGTCTATTTTCATCACGTTCAGTAAAATAATTTCAAAAGAAAATCTGTCTATTTAAAGGACATGTTGTTTTCAGATTATTACTTTATTTTCTACCTCAGTCAACGTAAGCACTGCCTTCCCATGTGCTCAAAGTCCAGGAGGTCTGCCCACTTTCACATCGTTCAACCTTAATCTTTGTTGTTTTAGGTGTTAATGAATAAAAATCACGCGGGAGAAAAAAAAGAGAAACCCGAGACCCCGTCTTTATTTCTTTGCTGCCCTCTGCTGGTTGTCCCTCGTACTGCGATTACATTTCGTTTCAAATCTCTCTCTCCAGCTGCCATATCTGTTTGTCATGTACGTACAACTGCACTCTCAGCTCGTTCCTTCATCCGTTTTATCACTGGGTTCTCATACCGATAAAACACAACCATGCAATTTCATGAGCACTTGTTTGTTGTTTCTTATTGCCTCTTCCTTCTTGTCTATCAATAATATTTATTGATTCCACAATTGAGAAATCTGCTGCTCCTTGTATGTTCCTCTGGGATTTGAACCCAGGACTCTCTGCTCTGGGCTTCCAAGGCAGGCCTTTTAAAGAAAAGCAATCAACAGTGCTCAATACAACAACTGTAATTTTAATCCTAACCCGATCATTACGTTTCTTAACTCTTCAATCACATCTTAATTTGACGACTGTCTTTTGATTTTGTTGTTTTTGTTTTTGTTTTACATTTCTGGCACAATTATTAGCAACACAACACATCCTGGAGAAGAGAAGAAACTGAAAGACCAACAAACTGTGCAACAATCTCAACCTAACAAGAATATATTAAAACATTAAACATTTTGCTTACAGGAAATAAAATAAGAAATAAAAGCTGAATAAAATAGATTAAAAATAGTGGACAGTAAGAAGTACATGTTAATATTCTCATTTATATTGTTATTTTTGTAAACATGTATTTTTTATGTATTAGGAAAGTGACACACCACTCCACTGTGTGGGGACGGTGCCATACTCAGAGCACCTCAGAGGAATCTTGGCAGCTGGTGGACTCAAACCTGAAGCCCAGCAAGGCCCAAGTCCGCTTCCTTAACCACTCAGCCACCACTGCCCCTACAGGACAACTTATCAAATAGCAGGGATGGCGTGATCAAATACTCAGATAGAAAAAACAACATCTATAGTCGACCGATCCGATACCTGAGCACAAATGCTCAACTTCACGTTGCGCGACAAACAAGGACGCTATTATCAGCAACGACAGCCCGCGACATGCTGGAGGAGAAAAGGTTGTATGGGTTTGACATCGGTATCGGCAGATATCGCAGTATCGGTATCGGACATGAAAAAGTTGTATTGAACCATCCCTGTGAAATGCAGCTGAAAATGGAGTATTCCAGGTAAAGTGCTGTTGTATTATTAACCACATGTTACTCTGGTCACTGGTCAAAGTGCTGAAAACATGAGTGAAAAGTGCAGAAACTAGAGTGGGGGGGCGCTTTTTCAGGAACTTACATTGCATCAGTGATGAAACGCACACATTCTGTGAACTCTTTCACAAGCGCTGAACTTTTGAGGACCCTGCAGACACACAGGAGAAAAGAAATGTTGATGGTTAGAACCATGAACATGTGATGATCTGTTACTGTATATATGGAGAAAAACAACACACCTTGCACATTTAGATCTAATATGAATGACTAACAAATGGATTTTCATGCAGCATCAGTGCCTGTGCAGATCTGCAGTGTCAGCATTAGGCGACTCTGTACCCACTGAGTGCATTCAGAGACAAATGACGGTGTCAGATTTAGCCGTAACGTCAACGACGACCAAATGCTAACAACGCCTCTCTGCTAAATTCCTCTCTGCCTTAGGGACGCGCTGGAAGGAAAGCCGTCGTCATTCCCTGACAGATGATGAATGTGGTCAGTGGTGAAAGTGATGGATCTGTTGTCTCGCGGCGCACACAGTCAGCATCCTGCCGGAAAATACATTTGGGCCCCAGATTTATGGGTTTTGTTTTCATTTCTGAGATGAGATGAGCCGCGCGGCCTCTATTTGATCTATTTGTTCCTGTTCTTCCTGTGTTAGTAGGTGTGTGTTTGTGTGCACGTGTCAGTGTATGTAGATTAGGTGAGGGTTGTGGTGGAGGTACGGGGAGCAGAGGATGGAGGGGGGGTGGGGCATAACACAGTTAACGCTCCTCATTGGCTGAAGCGTTTTCTCTGGCAACCAGAAACAGTAATCCTGCCTGCAGAGGTACTGCAGTGTGTGCTGCAGCGAGAGAGAGTGGGCGAGAGATGAAGACACAGAGTGTGTGTGAATGAGAGAGAGAGAGAGAGAGAGAGAGGGTAAGGGGAGGGGGTAAGAAGGCAAAGCGGAGCCACATGCATGAGGAGGGTGCCAGAAGCTCAAAGACAGGGAGGGAGAGTGTGTGCATGTGTGTGTGTGTCTGTGTATGCATGTATGTGTGAAAACAACGCGCATGTGTGGCTGTGAGGTGCACTGGTCGAAGCAGACAGAAGAGGAGAAAAAGGGAGCATTGAACCACGGTCGAAGCAAGAGGAGAAAAAGGGAGCATTGAACCACAGCTGAGTGTGTAGAGGACGAAGACGAACCAGGAGGAGGAGGAGGAGGAGATGTTTACCTGAAGACCAGGCAGGAGAGACAGGAGGAGAGTCTGACAAAACAGGGCTGTCACTGAGGGATGGACAAGGAGACAGCAGGAGGACACACTCATCCACAGGAGCTGAAGACTGAGAGGTGAAGGACAAAGGTACCAGGGAGAGGAGGAGAAAGAGGACGGAGACGCAGAGCTCCACACACGCAGCCTGAGAGAGTGACGCATCCACCTTGCAAACAGCTTCCTCCATCTTACGTCTCCTCCATCTTTTCAGCCATCGTTCTCCCCGCTGGTGTTCTACCTTTTCTTCGAAGCAAAAGACTGAGCTGCTCTGTTTCCTAGAGCAACATCCGTGAACACAAGGCTGGGAGAGGACCAGAAAAAGGAGCAGACAGGTGAGGGAGAGGAGAGGTGGTGGACATGTTTATCCATCTGTGTGTTCTGTATCTACGTGGTGACCATGTGTCCCACCGTGGGTGTCGTACCAGGGGTCGTCTTGTTATGTTGTTACACGGCTGTTGAATTAGGGTCATTGATTTGGCAGATGCACGGAGATGAATGGAGACAGATATGCTGACACACACCTGCAAACACACACACACACCTGGTTATTGGAACACAGAGTGATGATGCCGACTGACTTCATCAGGAGGCGGTGTCTCAGGGATGTTCAGGATCTGCAGAGGTTTTGACATTTGACAGTGGGGAGGAAACGCGGGGGTCGCGGGGACAGGGACAGGGACGGGAACGGCCTGTTCTGTAGTCGTCAGCAGCACCGAGGCATCTCCGTATTGGCCATACGTTGGCGCAGCAGTCAGAGCAGGGTACACCATGCTGGTATTGCATAACTGCTGCTCCTGAACGCACCCCTCCCACCAGCTCCCTGAAGATTCACCTCACATGTTTTTCTGCCCCCCTCCCTACTCACCTCCATCTCCCCTCCCCTCCATGACTCCTGCCACCTTAACAGCCACCTGGACCCAGCGCGGTGCTGAGACAGTGCAGCTCAGATGAGAAACATTTGTCCCGATCAGTCAAGTCACTCTGGTTATTGACAATCTGTGCTCTGGCTGCAGCACCGCCTCATCCATCTTTCATCAGATCTGTGTGTGTGTGTGTGTGTCAGGCTCAGTGCTGCTGCTGCTGCTGGTGCTGGCGCTGCCGGTGGCGGGGGGGG